AAACCAATCCCTCTTTTGTCTAAAACTAGTGGAGGCACGTGCAATGCACGTGTTCGAGTTTAGTTGGCTACTAAATAGCGCGGAATAAATTTGATGCCAACTTTCATGTTGTGCTTAGTCGTCATATCCAATACAATGGAATAAATGAAGTACAGAAACTGTAATCCTTAATAAACAGAAAGAATGTTGTGCGTAGTCATAATCATTTTGACAGCTAATAACAACGTACATAAATTTAGTTGGAGCAAGTATTTTGGTACATAAGAAAACAGGAGGTTGAATTGTTATTATTATTACAATTTTTTCCATTTCATTGTAAAGATTCTTGGAGATTATGCACCCGAATTTTAGACGAATTGCAGCCTTCTAATCTTGCTTATGATGGATGCATCTTTTTGAAAGTTTGGAGTTCAATCTTGTAATCCTAGATCAGTGATGGACATGCACACCTTGTTGAAGAGACGTTGCAGATGCTTTCTTGTTGAACTTTTTTTATAATGATTCGTCAGATTGCAGATGCTTTCTTGTTGAACTTTTTTTATAATGATCCGTCAGATTGCAAAGGTTATAATCCATCAAAAGCATAAGTATGTGACTTTGGAAGGGTATATAACATTGAATTCAGGAGAAAGTGGTTGCAATTTTCGTGTCTCCGTGCATCATGGAGGCAGGCGTGTCTCCCATCCACCTCTCCATGTCTCCTTGCCGGCATAATTTAAGTCAGGTAGGGGAGAACATTTCCCATACCATTAATGACCATTAATGATGTTCCTCAGTTCCTGTTAGCAAAATGCAGAGAGTGTAGCGTGTTAAAAAATGAAATTGTATTTGAATTGAAAGACAGACGAAGAAAAGCAAGACAGCAAGAAAACGGTGAACTTCCACAGCAACAAAAACCTGTAGAACTTCTTCCAATATGGAGCTAGCCGCTAGCTCCATCCTGGATGGAGCTAGGGGACCTAGCTCCATGTTGGATGGAGCTAGCCTTTAGCTCCATGTTGGATGGAGCTAGTTGCTCTAGCTCCATGCAAAAAGAAGTAAATTCTAACCATTAGTAAATCCAACTACAAATAGGTACCTATTCA